ATAAATAAAACGCTAGTTTTTGCTAGTCTCTTCGTTTCAGATGGTGTCAGTGTATTTTGAAAGTACTTAGCGGAAGTGGTAGTATGCTTTCATGTCTGTATTTACGCTGCTTTTACTACTTTATTATTGCAGTTCCCTGCTGTGACCACAAGAGGGCAGTGAGCCGTTTACTCTGTATGAAGGTGATCTGTTTATGATATGACCTCTGATAAGTAACGCCTTCATTGTTGAGAAGAAAAGAGAATGTAAAATCATGAGTGTTTGATGAAGGCAGAGAACTGAAACACTAAATAGTGTGTCATTGTAGACATGACCACCACTACTTTCAAAATACCGTGACCAAGTTAAAACTACCACGTTATTTGCTCTCATGAGGTCACAGATAGACACTATGACTCCGCATTTTTCCAGTGGAACCAGTACATTAAAACGATTAGTAAAATTATTTAGAGTAATATGCAGTTATCAACGATACCTCCTCGCTCTTATGTCATCAGTAAGAGTCCTTCAGCGGCAAAACAGATGACATCATCCACCCTCGACAGACTACTTTTCCTCCATGGTGGCGGCGTGATGGAGGTGTGCGGTTCTTCAAGTGTTACCCTGAGAGAGTTTGGCTGTGAGCAGAGCTTACTGTCTCGACCTGACGGCTCAGCGTCCTTCATCCAAGGTAACGACACTTGGAAACACGGAGTCAGCTGTAAGAAGCAGCTACTCGGTCTTATGTAGGATTACCTGCAGTTCACCGTAGCGCTCCGCTTCTTCAGCCCCTATTTAGAAAACATGAACGCTGCTTGAAACCCTCTCACAAATCTATGAAAACAACAACGAGCACTACAGACCAAAAACCACCATACTTAGACTTGTCAAATCTAGACCAGATTATTCCAGAGAAGACTCTTTACAACACACTGTCAGATTTAAGATATAACATATAATCTGATTGGGAAAACACAAAACGGGAGATTTCATTACCTACTTTTTTTCACATCTAGATCAGGTCCAGATCAAATCCCACGACGCTTAGATTGTGATATATTGAGCCTGTGAGACCGGGCTTTAGGTTCACATCACAATATCTTTTGCTGTTGAGCTGCCAAGCATAAATGGTTTGTTTTTACAACTAGGTCGACTGTCTTCAAAGGTGGTCTCCAAGTAATGATACCTAAAGTCTCCGCTTTGGTGGGTGTAAACAAGGTGAAGACCAATACATGCAGCTGTGATGTAACATTACCATCTTCCAAACACCCATCAGTGCACAATGAACTTAAATAAGACCTTGACTTTAAATGATGACATGGTAAGATTTAACTCCCCTTCTTACAAAAACACGAGGCCTTAGCATTTGTTAATAAATTCTTAAAACCTAGTTTGTTTCCACGGTGACAAGCCTATAATTTATTCGACATATTATCTCTGAAAGCAGAGTGAAGAATGACTGTGATTGGGGAAGATGCCATTTTGTAGATGTCTATCTGTTTTGAACTGGTGTTGCATTATTGATCATTCTAGTTGATTTCTCATTGCTTCAGTGATTTGATGTTACTCCTGAGCAACAGCTGATCCCCCCCCCCGGATCAGTAATGTATTTTCTGCTGAATAATGTCCTCTTTTGTTTCTATCTGAAGGAGACACAAGTGTGTTGGCTGGAGTGTATGGACCAGCGGAGGTTAAGGTCAGCAAGGAGATCTATGACAGGGCGACCCTGGAGGTGTTGATACAGCCCAAAGTGGGACTGCCAAGTAAGTTGTTGTCCAAGGAGGGGAAAAAAATCTTATGATACAGCTTCATTTAATTTTTTGTTTAACGCAGTTCCTGAGTGTTGCTAAATCTTCTTCTATGTCTGATAATTAATTCTTTAAAGTCATGCACACAGTGTAGGCAGGTTACTATAGTTACAATACAGTGTTGACATAAGAAGATATGTGATATACATGAGAAACTGTTATGCAGTTTGGAAATAAATGTTATATATAGGGGAAATGTAAAGCAAACTTCAGGCTAGTAGCTGTTCATTTTACAGCCTTGCTGCCATACCACCACACACCACAAGGTGGAGTAAGTGAGCCAGTAGGTTTTCTATCTACCTCAAGCATGTATTTACTTTCCAGGTGTCAGGGAGCGATCACAGGAGCAGTGTGTGCGAGAGACCTGCGAGGCATCTCTGCTCTTGTCACTTCATCCCCGCTCCTCCCTCACTCTCATTCTTCAGGTGTTGCACGACGATGGTTCAGTATCCTTCAGTGAAGTTCTCTGCTGCGTGGTGCGGTAAGGTTAATAACTTCCGGTCACTGAAATGGTCTCCTGACGGTGTTTCTTGGTGAGTGTTCTTCCTTAGCGCTTCCTCAGCTCTTGTCCTGCTTCCTGAATGCCGCCTGTATGGCTCTCATGGATGCAGGCCTGCCTATGAGTTGCCTGTTCTGCGGAGTGACCTGTGCCATCGACACAGACGGTCAGATCATCACAGACCCCACTGCAGCTCAGGAGAAGGTAAATCTGAGGCTCGGTGTTGTGTAAAAACAAAACCCCCAAAAAAACCAAAAAACACCACCAAGCATGAATATGAAATAAGCATGAATGTCTCTCTTGGTTTGAAGTAAAGAATAGATTGCTGTATTCATTGATGGTTTTCATTAGCGATGAAAAACTATCCTTCAGTACAAATATACACAATTACTCAACAAGGCATGTTACTGGAGGTTGTTTTGGAGTTCACTATACAACAAAATAATATATATAGTTTAAAAAACACTAAAAGAGCATATATAAGTACATAAGTATATTTTGTGTGTTTCATGGGCATGCAGTGTTTAAGGAGGATATTTATCCGTTAGATAAATGTAGAGTTAGTTGGAGTCTGTTGAGTCAGTTATTATTGTTATGTGAATTCTTATGCGTTATCTTGTGTTATTGTGATGATATGGTTGTGTTGTCAACGTATAAACTGTGTGGACCGCAGGACGAATAACTGCCGCTTTGCAAAAGCTCATGGAGATCATAATAAATAAACAAACAAACAAGCACCTTCATATTGACAAGCACAGGTGTTTGTTAAATTTCAGCTGAGAGGAACCAGTTCTCCCACATGTACCCTGGCTCAGATGACGGGCATGAGAAGAGCTGTGTATATTTTATTGGTTCATATCAGCAAAATCATCAGTTTCATCATTCAGGAATAAAAAAAAATAATAAAAAAAAGTAAGGCTTTGAGTTTGTAGAAAAATCACTAAAAGACCATGAATGTAGTATACACTTGAAAAGCCTTAAAACACTTTTAATACACACTAGCAGTCTGATGCGTTATAGTACATTCCAGACATTTAAACCCTTCTACAGGACACTCAGCTCCAGGTCCATATCCGCAGTGAAATGAGTTTCACCTCTGTGCCTCATATCTCGTACTTCGCGCTTGTAATAGGTAATTCTGCCTCCAAATCCACCCTCCCCCCTTTTAGCAAGAAAACTAAATGAGGAGTGGATTTCTCTGTCTAAACCCTCTACAGCTCTGCGGTTCAGGCCTGTTTTCTGGGAGATGGTGAGAATTGTACAGGTCCATCTGGGCACACCGAAAAACGGAGCTTAAATACATTATAGGAATTTAGCGTGTCCTTTCAGTCGAGTCAACGCTGTCAGAATCCTCACTGAATTTCTTGATTTATTTATTTATTTAGTCTGTTTCCACTCTCACCAGGAAAGTCGAGCTTTGATGACCTTTGCCATTGACAGCACGGAACGCAGAGTATTGATGTCGTCGACCAAAGGATCATTTTCAGTCCATGAGGTCAGCTTACAAATGAGTCATTTTTCCCAGAAGCACTGCGTCGTTGCCAAATTTAGTTTTTGTAATCATGTCTAACGTGTGATCTCCGGATTTGTACAGCTGTTGTGTATTACATCATATATCTGTCACTACTGTGAAGGCTCTGTCAGCGATTTCCTTCAGCACCGATGATGATGAGATGTTTTTCTGTCTCTACCTGTAGTGATATCACAGACCTTTCATATTTCTTTAATGTTTGTTTTTCTTCCTCTACAGCTGCAGCAGTGTATAGCAGTCAGTCAGAAAGCATCAGAGAAGATCTTCCAGTTCTACAGGGACTCTGTCAGGCGGCGATACTCCAAAACCCTCTGATGAAGAAGCAGCAGCTTTCTTTTTTTCTAGTCTTTTTTTTTTTTTTTTTTAAATACTGATGTTGTAATAAAATATTCAACGACCACTTTGGGCTACCTTTGCTTCAGTTCAGCCGTAGTCAGAAGATGGTGGGAGTTTAAATGAGGACATTTGAAAGAAGACCAGGTTGAAAAGAGGAAAGACGAATGTCAAACAAGTGCATTTATTGGGATTCATTGATTTTCCTTCAGTTTAATAGTCACATGTAATACAAGGATGTGAACTGGGAAAGAATCAAATATCTCTCCTACTAATAAATCTCATTTGCCACAACCTTTGACCTTTATCGACTCACGAGTTGTCCACTCCGCTGCGTCCGTCCAGTCGTTATCTGTTACAAGTGAGACAAAGTGAGACAAATCTGACCAGACCCTGTTTCATGCCGGCGTGATCCGTCAAGGCAATCCACGTTAAATGCTCCCATATAAATCACTAATTGTGGCAACTCAGCTGTAACAACAAAAGGGTCATTTTCTTTTCATTGACGTAAATGTCCAGTGGAGACGGAGGGTGGTTCAGGATTGTCAGGACTGTACGACACCGTGTGTGGACTCAGTCAGTGCAGCTGTATCACAGCACATCAACAGTGATAGCAGACGAGGGCCAGACACCGAGATATCACAGGTGTGTCTACACATGTCACTTACAGTGATCATAATCTATCGGCTCAGTCGTGATACAACACTGGGTTTGCAGAAAACAAAGCCATGATTTGAACTATTTGTAGTTCAGCTGTGGACTCTATAAAAACTATACATCTACATAGAAAATGTCAACTTTTTCCTTACAGCCATTTTTTAAAACATTTATTTGGAGTTCCCTTGTTCACTTTTTTTTTTTTTTTTTTTTAATTAATGGCACATTTAAATTCAACCCAATACGGCCAGAGTTTTTTCCCTTCATATCAAAGCTGCTCTTGCAGTGATTCAGGTCCTAATGAAGGAAGAGACTGAAGCTCGGAGCAGGTTTGTACACGTCAAACTACAAACTCGCCATGCAGGTTTCTAATGTGACCCAAATGGAAATTTTCCTACCTCATGCATCACCTGGCTGAGCGCTGTCTCACACGTCTGCTCATCTGAACAAAGTGTTACTTTGTCTACGCAAGTTAAAGTAGAGAACTTCGTTTTAAGTTTGTCAGACGGCAAGAAGCAACTTCCTGAAGGATTCCTGTCCTTTTTTTTATTTATTTATTTTTTAAGGGGGAGGAAATAGCAGAATCTATATTTGGGGGAATTATATTTTGGGGTGTGGAGTAGCAGCCTGGTTGCTTCTATTAATGGAATAGCTCATAAAAGGATCATCCGCAGAGTTTCTTCCATATTTTTGGCACTTTTCCTCGCAGGTCTATCTTATCATTTCCTATGTATATGCAGTGCACTGTACGAAGCAGTTCCTTTTATTTCTATATCTCAAGCCAATGTTCACATCGCCACCATTGCACTTCATTTTAAAACTCTTTATATTTATTTTCTTATATAATGGCACAATATGTATTTTTTTTTATTTAGCTTTTACGTGTATTTCAACATAAAGATACTTGTTCAACTTATAGCATAAACAAAGCAGAATCAGTCCTCTCTGCAGGTACACAGTGAATGATGCTGAATGTGAGTTGATCGATGTGCATGTGCAGTGTTTCCCTGCGGGTCCCTCGCTCCGACCAGAGGCGTCGGAATGAATTCTGGGTTCTCTCAAAGAATATTGCTTCTGGCCCGTCATATGTTTTAAAAATAAAGCTCTGGGGCTCTGAAACCGCCACCAGCGACAGTGCTGGCTCAGGCCCCTCCAACAGCAAGGTCCATCAGGATTTAGCCGCTGCCACGTCCTTGCTGTGACCTTCTAATAAATCTGCAGACTCCATCGCCGCTCGCTGCCACACTTCCCCCGTCTTTTCTCCCTCCGCTTCTCATTATTCGTCCGTTGTTTTTGTGACAGTGATATCTACAGTGATAACATCTGCATTAGTTGTCACAGTTTTTTTTTTTGTTTTTTTTTTAACTTCAGTAATGCTTCACATGTGGTGATGACGACAGCCCGGATTTAAGGGATAACAGGTCACTTAAGACCGCGGGTGACAAAAATAATTAACACTTACAGACTGAATCTTCTACATGGAATGAGACTGAATAACTTTCAATGATTTTTCTTCACATCCTCTGAGCTGAATTATGCCCTAATCCAATTAGGAGTGATTATGATGGAGACTCCAGCTCTCCTGTTGTATCATTACTGTCTGTTCTTGGCTTTTTCCATCCCGGTGTAGATAAAACATGACTGCAGACGGGGTTGACAGACAAAGACTGTGATTACTTTACATTTGCAGGTGATACGTTGGCGTGTGTGGATATTAATGAGATGTGTGTAAGAGGTCTGTTTCTTCTATGTGCATTCCCTCGTGCAAGAGCCGTTTTTTTATGGCGGTTTCCCGGACAGGTAGGAAATCAACGCGGCGATGGCACAGATGTACGTTATGATTCCAAACACAATGGAGAGCACTGAGAGCCACAGAGCCTGGCGAGACGCTGCGTTGGCCCCCTGAAAATCCCCCTGAGCTGAAGCCTTGTTGGTCTGAGAAATGGAGAGGAGAGAGGAGGGTGAGATAAGGATTAGAGGGGTGGGTGGAGGGGGGAGAGAGCAGCATTTGTCATCATTTGTCAATGTCCTCCCTGGCCTACACTTTCCTCTTCCACTCATTCCAATCTCACGCTAAACCCATATTATCTTCCATCTCTGAATCGCACCCGGCGTTTGTGCCTCATTCATCACTTTCTCCTCCTTCCTTCCTCTCCCCCTCTAGTCCTTGTCTTTGTCTCTGACCCCTGTTTTAGGTAGCACTCAACAATATTGGAAATCTATCACCTTGGGGCTTCTTGTTATGACTCTAATTAAACCTTAACGAAGGCTATTGATCTGATCAAAAGGCCTTTGCAGCTTGCTGCCAGTTAGCTTTGTAAAAGCGTTAATGGGATTTTTTTTTTTTTTCCCTGCACTGCTGGAATGATGCCTGTATAAACTACGGGCCTCTGGCGACTAGAGATAGAGGTGTGAGGGGCTTTTTCACACTGCCAGTGGTAATACTGACTGATGAGATAGTTTGTGCAGTGAAGTTGTCCCCTTCTCCCTTAGTCCTGCTCCAGATTTCCACCAACTCTGCCTCTGAGGAGATTGATCATTTCAGCTATCAATTTAAGACTTTCACATGTGCTGTAGCTGCAGTATCTCATTACAACTTCACTTCTCTGACTGTATCAGTGTCTGTATCTGTAGCTGGTCAAGCCCTCAGCCTTTGTAGCGACTGGTTATGGACAGCTCGAGGTAAAGGAGATGGTTATATTGGTTGTAATTGGTAGCTGAAAGTAGCAGCATGTTTGCTAGTATACTGATTTTTAATTGTTTTTTTTCTTTCAATGTCTTGTTAGACTCTTTGCTACAGTAGCACATGGTGAAAAATAAATCAGCTGCCATTGGAAATATCAATATAAATAGACAGGGATTATATATATATATGATAGCACTGATACGGTATGCTGCATTTATTGATATTTCTTATGTATTATTAATGTTGTTTGTTCCCAACAGTGTCTGTCCCATTATTCTGTTTGTACTTTTTTTTTAACATGTGATGACGGCTACAGCTAAGATGTAAAGGACAGCATGTGACTTCAGACATCGGGTGACAAACACTCACAGACTGAATCTTCAACATGGAATGATACTGAATAACTTTCGTGATGATTTTTCTTCATGTGCGAGGGAACGTCCTGTGAGCTGACATCCATACAGATCAGTGGGCGCCAGCCATCACCTACGGGTGTCACTACATCAATTATTGATGAAGAAGAAAAAAAATCTGCTACTCAAACTTGTCTCTGTTTCTCTTTTGCTCTCTGTTACTGGTTTTGGTTATTTAACATGGGTTAGCTTCTACACACAGCATGTGTGCCCAGATTTGATTTGATTGCTCTGTTAGCTGTTCCTCATTGACTTCCTGTAAGATGTTGTCCTGTGTTGCATTATGTTTATCATCTATTGGAAAACATAAAGTTCACAGCCTCTCAACCTGAACAACTCTAACAAAGGAAGATTAGTCCCTGCTGGAGCAGTTCACGACTGTGATGGGAAGGTTGTGTTTTGGAGACACTGGTTTAGGGACGTTAATTCAATCAAATATCGGAGATTGAAGATTAAACACGTCTTAAGTAAGCCTCTGTATAAGCAATCACTCTGTTGCATTGTTCAGCTCTCCGATGTTTGGAAGCTCTTGTGGCATAATCCTGCCAATCTAGGTGTAACGCCTCCCTGTCTCAACTCCACAGCAATTCCATAACATCCACACTTGCACAGCACTTAACATAGCGGACCTGTTGTTAGTCTACACACACTGCAGAGGGTAAGACATCACCCTTGGCTGTGAACTGCACTGCCAGGTTATATCTTGTCAGCTCAGGACTGTGTGTGTGTGTGTGTGTGTGTTTGAGTGTGAGTGTGAGTGTTAACCTTCTGTGAAAGGTAGAAGGCAGCGATGCCCAGGGGCCAGAAGCAGCAGAGCATGGAGAAAAAGGCCAGACCCAGGTAGTCCTGGGGGATCATCAGAGGGAAGTTGCTCTCGCTGTCTGTATCACTGAATTCATCAATGGACGAGTCCTGGGATTCAAAGAGACTGCAGTTCAGTTGCATTCTGGTTAGATGGCCTGGTAAAACACCTCAGATGGTATTTGTTCATGCAGATTCTTTCATGCAGGTTTTGAGATATTCATCTTTGAGATTTCTGCCCCCACACCAGCGCAATGGAAATTAATTGAATAAAATTTCACAGCAATTAAAAATTACATTTGAAAAAATTCAGCAGCAACATCCCCCTCCATAAACGTTCCACTGTGAACTTCTGTCATGGGGACTATTTTTCTGGTTCAAAGTCGTTCCATTCAAAACACTGTTTCTGGAAAGACACTCAATATAGGCAGAATTTTTTATATGTAATTTTCAAATGCTATAACACGACTGTGTGTTTATTTATCGTTATTGATGTGGTGTGTTTCTTAAAAACCAGTGCTACTATCTACAGTACATGCCTAGATACCACTATAATAAGTAAGAAATATGGTTTTTGTAACGAGTGAAATTTCCCTTTAGACCCAAAGCTTATTCATTCAAAAGAAGACAATTACTCAATTTAAAAGTTGTATATAAAATATAATAGACAAATACACAAACATAATACACTCACTAACAATTTTGATAGAAAGCAAATTGGCTTTTTTGCATGTTACGTCCATGTCGTCCACAACAACTGCTAAACTTTGCTTGTGCCTGAAAGATAATGTGACTGAATGGGGTTAGTCTGGATGCGCAGTAGCTGTGTTGACCGCAGGTTATTCATGACTCACGCATCTTTTTGAAACAGCTGCATATTCAGTCTGACTTCCTTTCTCACACTGACCATGTCACATTATGACTCTGCTTGTTTCATTTTGTGCCTGAAAGATGCTCCCGTAACATTTCCTTTTTTCTTAGGAAGCAAACAGAATTTTAGACATTAGTTGGCGAGGTTATTTTAATGGCAGTCTATCATTCACTGCACATGCCTGGTCTGTGGGTCTCTGATGTCAGGATTGATCCGTCCTGTCCCGAATTACCTTTTATATCAGGAGGGATTTTTTTTGTTTGTTTTGTTGAATCAGTGAATCAGTTCATGGTGGTGACAAGAAACAGGGACATCTCACATTGAGCCAAAAGCCAGATTGACACTGTGCTCATACTATGTAAAGTCACTCAGGATGGGACACTCATCTATCCTGCTCTGGCACCATATAGTATTGATCAGCTCCACAGTGAAAATCCATCATGAAGCAGTGAAGGAGTTTTGTGGGTGAGTTCGATTCCTTTAACTGAGCATTTGATTTGAAACAAAGGAGTAAAGGAGATGTTGTGCTGTGCCTCTTTGAGGTCACAGCAAGGTTTTATTCCCACAGGCCTGTGCCTTTGCATCACGGCACTACTACCAGCATTCAGAATGAGCTTGGAAAAAAAAAAAAAGTTATGTTCTGCGTGCTGCTCTTTTGTCCTTGTGGAGCAAACTCTCAAACCTGAGCTGTGCAGCGGCCAACTGCTCGTGATTTCAATGGTGTTTAATACTGTTTGTCCACTGGATCGTGTTTTTAATCAAAGTAATAATCATAAAATGGCCTTCAGCTTATAGTTCACAGCAGGTAACTGAAACTTTAATTTATTTTAACCTTGCTTGGAGACTGTTCATCATAATTTAAACGACCAGCAGCGACTTATCGGTGACATTTACGGCACATGCGTTCTCATGTTGACTCCCTGAACGTCACATGACCACCGTAAACGTTTTGAAGCTAATTTACATTTCACTCCAGGGTGGGCTTTGCTCAGTGATCTATGAAATAGAACTGGCATCCTCCATCGCTACTGTAGTGTCATTACCTGCACCGCAGCAGGAGAGGAGCTTTATGTAATCTGGCTGTTTGACAGTAAGCATTCAGTTGCTGCCTGCCCTGAAATGCACCGCTCGTATGTCTATTTTAAATTCCTCTTTCATTCCCAGACTCTGTACTGAGAATATGAGATTTTCTCCTCCTTTAAATGCACAACTCCTCCGAGCAACAAAGTGGACGTGGTAGAAACGAACTGATCAGATGTGATAATTATTTATATGTAGAGATGAAACGATTAGTCGAATAATTGATTAGTCAATCAACAGAAAATGAATTGCAATAATGCAACTACTTGATTGCAACTATTACTCATCCACTGCTCTTCCCTGTTTTATATCATTGTAAACTAAATATCTTTGGGTTTAGATTGACGGTTGAACAAACAGGACAGGATTTGAAGACATCCCCATGGAAATTATAGTAATCATTCCAGTCCCTTTGTCTTTGAGTGTCTGCAGGGAAGAAATGAGTTGCACTACCTTCCTATAACTGTCATTATTCTGTTTACATTGAATACCTGATTTTACAATTTGGAATTCAACTACACACAAACTGCTGTCAGGACACGAGAAAAAAAAACTTTGTCAACATCACGTCTTACGTCCGAGTCAGGGAGCAGGTCGTCCTCATCATCCATGCTGTAGGACACACTGTGGAAGTCCTGCGTCTCAGCCAGCAGCTTCCTCTCAAGCGTGGAGCCGGGCCGAACGTCGACAAAGGTGGTCTCCAGGTAGTCTTTGCTGAGCAGGGAGTCTGTGTGGCCCCAGATGGGGGCCGGCGGGTAAAAGGACTCCAGTGTGCGAGGCAAGGAGCAAGGGTCCAGTAGCTGCTGCTGCTGAAGCTCAGGAGGATGTCCACAATAGCTCCTCCATGCTAAGGGGGGGTAGGCCCTGTCCTCCTCACACTTCACCAAGATGCCCTTGAACAGTCCGCCTGGAGCCTGTCCGGTCCCGGGCCCCAGCCCCGGCCCCGACGCCCGGCTGTTGTTGGGGTTCTCTCCCAGAAGAGGGTGCTCCAGCTCATCTAGATTCTCCATTCTCCCTCTCTTTTAATACCAACCACACAAGAGGCCACCACATCAACAACCAAATGTAATCTACAAATCGGTCTGCAGTGCGTCTCCCTGAAGAGCGTCCGATGGGCTTACGCAAAGGCAGCTGCTTTGCTGGTTTTAGTGTTTCACTGATAATCCATCTTTAATCCTATTCTTTAATTTTTGTCTTATCATAGGCCTTGATCCAGAGGCCAACAACACATGCCAGGTTTATAATCGAGTGAAATACCGTAATGTGCCAGTGATGGCCTGCTGCTGTGTGCAGAGGGATGTGGCGTTGAAGTCGTGTCGGTGGATTCAGGAATCTCTTTTCCTCACATGTCATAAGCTATTTGTTTCAGGGCTTGATGGCTCAGGGTTTGCCCCATGTCTTCCATTTCACATGATTGAATGTGTCAGTGTTCATGAATATGCTAATGTCTGCTACTTTCTCTCTCATACAATATGAAAATGTCAATTCTGATGATGGAAATCCTTGATTAGCCCCAGACAGGCCAATGAAAACAGTGGGCAATGGGATGTCAGTGTGATTGCCCTCGGGAACTCATGGAAAATGTCTCTCGCAATAAAATATTAAGTCTTGATCTAAGCCCAGTGTCACAGTATTAGTTTGAAAGCTCTGGATGTCAATCTTTCCCTTCAACAACTTTGGATGGAAATGAGCAATGACATGTGAGTTGAGAAATGATTGTGTGGAGACTAACAAGAAAGATTTTCAAGTTGTGATGGCATGTAGTTCTTTTTGTTTGCTCCTCTGCAAGAGTCTGACAAAAGTGCAGTGACACTGCTTTCAAAAACAGGCCAAAGGCAGCGTCCCCTCAGATGGCTGGACTGATGCACAGTGGGGTGTTTTGAAGCTTGAATATGCACAACCTCAGGCAGCAGTCAAACTAGTGGCGCAATGAACGGATTGGGGCCATATTTGAGGGCAGTTAATCTGTAAAAGCAACGAGGCTCCAGAAATAGAATCCTATGGTGCACATCCGCAGGTCAGCAGGCCTGTCAACATGCCTGCTCCTCTGTTGTTGCAGCAGGAAGCGATAATGAAGAAATCAAAGTCGTCTGCATTTGATTTATGTGTTTGTGGATTTGCTGCCTGCTGTAGCAGCGCTCCTTTGGGACATGTAATTTTAATGCGCCTTGTCCACCTTAAGAGGGTTTCGCTCAGGACAGACGAGGTGCTGGGGCGGCTCGCTACTCGCCGCTTCTCCGATGAGGACGATGATGTCTGTTAAAAGAAGAACAAGGTCACACAAAATATTTAGACTGAAGTTTAACACAAACTCTCTGCACACAGACTCCTGTGGGTTGTGTGCTTTCCAAGGCTCCATTTGGACGGCAGTCTTATTTTCCATCACGCACACATACTCACAGTACTTGGGCTTATGCCTCCACCCTAAACCCTACACATCAGACTCAAGACATCAGTGCAGTGTAAGCACTACAGAGGTGTCTGCCCATTCAACCAACCAAATCCAACGTTCATCACGGCGTGACTGTCCTCAGGACCAGCAGTCCTTTCAGCCAGCACAGCTCCTGAGGTGCTGACAAGGCAGTGGCTGGATAAATTGTCTTTAAAAGGCTGACTAATATCAGACATACAACGGAGAAAATAGTTTTCAAGAGGGCTCCATGAGCAGAGTACAGAAACAAAATGGCATGGTTTTGGAATCTGATTGTGAAACTTCAGGCCTTAATCAATCGTTATACATATACATTATTATACATACAATGAATAATAATAATAATTTGCATGATTTTAAAGCTGCAGATGAAGATTACATTCTAAAGTGCCACTTGCACTTTGCTCTTTACTCTAACATGTAACATAATATCACTAACCTTAGCCATAAACAAAATCTCAACCCAAAAATAAAAGCTTATCCTTGCACCAGCTTTTTGAATGTGAGTCCTCACAATGTGGCTGTGTGAATAGAGTCTCCACACCGTCATTAATACAAGTAAAAATAAATCCTCACTGTACTGCCCTCTAGTGTGTGACATGATATCTCTGCTGCCCAGTTTGGCTTCACAGGAGTTTGTGATGTCGGGGACTTCATGTACGATCATTTAAGACTATTTCTGTTTCAAAACCAAACTTGTTTTTCTTCATCATCTAGCTTGATTTTAAACCATTTTCTTTCTCCTCCACCGACATGAAAACCACTCACTTGCTGCAGACCAAAAGCAGACTGGGGCTCTGATATCATATGTATATATTTATATATGGCAGAATTATCTCATTTACATTATGTCAATCAATACACGGTAATAGGGTGATAGTTAAGCTTTATTTATTCAGGAAGCCTCACTGAGATCAAGATCTCTTACAATAAGATTCACCAATATTATTAAACACATCAGTGACCGTAGGAATGAGTGTCTCTGACTTCTGTGTGTCTCGTAGCTCATTCCTGCAGTAAGGTTTATAGCACCAGAATACAAGGTACAAAGTAATAAAGTACAGTGTAGTAAAGTAGTTACCACTATACCTGAGTTGTGGCGGCAGCCTGGCACACAACTCAGTGTGTTTCAAGGGAAATCTTCTAAGTCAGCACTCTATATACTATATGTCTGATGGATACACATGCATTCAGCTCAGAGCAGACAGGGACACTGTAACTCTGCACATTCTTAAATGGTCCAAGAATTAATAACATCCAACTCTGTATGCACAACTGACAGCTTTTTAAACAAAGAGATGCCAGTTTTATAATGGAAAATCTACCCTCGACACACATCTTTTTATTTTTTCTACGTTCTAGTTGCTTAGAAACTCTGTCACTAACAGCCACTTGTGTATCTCTTATGTTTAAAATGGAAAATTACTTGCTGATTTGTGTGTGAGTGAAAAAATGAGTTTGCAATAGACAGACTGAGTTAGAAAATGCACGTTGTTCTCTCGGTTTTGATCCACCGTTCATTGCACGTTGCATTTTAGTGTGGACAAGGAAAATGGACCCCTTTGTCAAATGACACAAGTGGACACCAAACATGTTCAGGGGCCTCTGTGGCAGTAAACTCTCTGTCAGCTCTAACTTTCTCCAGGATAATTCATTTTAAATGTCAATATAAACTGCACAGCACATCTGTTGTCGTTAAGCTGTATTTATGTATTTTGTAACGCCTTCGCAATCATAACATGATGATTTAATCGACATATCAAGCAGTGCAGCAGTGCAGGAAATATTATTCGCCTAATTAACAGGTCGTATTTATGAGCCACAGTCGCACAGTTTTACTTTCAATTATTTGTTTACTTTACAGGGACAGTGCTCATTGATCAACTAAGAGAAAAACTGTAAATGAGCCACGGATAGTTTAAAGGTCCATATTTTGGACTTGAAACACTCCTGTGTTGATCCATAAGAAGATATATTTGTGGTTTTAAGAACAAAAAGTATTAATATAAAGACATGGAAATCTCACTTAATACAATACTGGACCTTTAAAAAAGTAACTTGAATCTATTTAGTTGGCACTCTAATAACAGAACAATGTATCACTGTTTTATGCTTGTTCACAACAGGGAAAAAGAATTATGTAAACAAGAGCAACTAATTGGTGAATTTGGTTGTATCAATATAATCAGAGAGCCAGTGCAAACGAAGAGTTTAATCAGCTGAGACTCAGTAGAGTAATCTGCTGTCTGTCCCCTGTACTCCTTGGCTGTAATGAAAGGTAGTTCTTTTTGCTGACTGAATTAGGATGGATTGGTGTATTTTGTATTGTTCAGGCATTTTAATGTGGATGGAGTTATAAAAAATAAATAAATAAAAAATTACCCGCCAACAAGTTAGCCATCTCAGTGCAAACGTATATGTGTTAGCAATTTGGACCTACTCAGGCTGTCTCTCATGCATGCTGGGATTCAAAACTTAAGACATTTCCGAGTGGTGTTAAATGAAGATAAACTCACATACGACTGACTTCTTGTGGTCCAAACTGAGAATATCTAAAATTAGCACAGAACAGAGTGGTGGTGAAACGCTGCTTTGAGCTGACAAGTGAAGAAGAGAGGAAAAAAACTCTCTGTATTGTGTGTCGAGGGACTTTTCATTCCTGGTAGAATAAGAAAGTGTCATTTCAACAGACTACATAATATCTCATCAGTAGATATTCATTCTGCATGGCAGAGTGCTTCACAGGCTCGAGATCAATTCAATGACTTGTTGTTGCACGCTTCACCGCACAGCACAGAAAAAAAAAAAAAAACTGGAATAATTGGGTGTCTTTGGGCTGGAGTGGTGCTGAGGGCGGTGTTCTGCTCTGAGCGCTGATACTGCTTCGATGTGCAAACCCCCTCTGCTCCCCTCCTCTTCACCCACTCCTTCATGGAGGGCTAGTACCTCTCATACTGAACAAGCTGAGTGATCGTTCAACACGCTGACGTCAGCAACAGGGTGAGAGCCCCCCCCCCCCCAATAACACACACACATCTGGACATATGGTGCATACCTCACACATGCTCACTCACACACTAATATTTGTAGCACCAGCCTTCCCTCTCTCTTCTGCCCCCTCCTAATCGCTGCAGCTTCATTCCAGGAGAGATGCACTCAGCTTTATTACACCCCTCCCCCCTTCACCTCTGCCCATCCACCATAAAAAGACTTCTGTCAGCTGTATTATAAGCCTGCCTCCTTTTCTGATTCTGCAACGCTCATAAAACATCCAGTCAGGTAGAGGGAAGGTTGCAAGGACGCCGCTGCAAATCACCAGTGACACTTTTACAAGAGCTCCTCTTCTCTCCCTCCCTATCTCTCTCCTTTCTAGTCTGGTGCTCTGTCATACACACACACAACCACACATCTACTCAGCTCCCTCCATTACTTCTACCCCTCTTTTTTTTTGCTTTTGATCTGACTCCTTCTCTTTTTTATAATCCAGCCAATACTGTCGGCAAAGCCACTGTACAAAACTTAAAACTTGTCTTACTTGGTACAATTTCTGCTTGCTGCATGAAAAAAAGCTTGTTCTGAAAACACAGAAATGTGCATCCAAAGTGA